CTGTTGGTTCTTTCAACCAATCAGGACTTCCCAAAAGTGACCGGAAGCAGAACTCTTTAAAGTCGACACTTCCTAGTTCCAGGTAGAACAGAAGTTCCGAATGAGAACAGAAGTTCCGAAAGTTCTGAAGTGCTGGAGTAATGAGTTCTTCCGAGTCCAGTTGGGATTATGGAATCTTCCACATCTGAGTGGAACCGTTGACGGACTCACAGCTCATGTGAGTCCATCCGGGAGGTGAGCGTGTTATTGAACGGAGTACCGTCACTACTTAGGACGATTCTCAGCCATCCTAAGGAGACGCTGAAAGGTAGCGTTGAAATGGAACTCCGTACCGGAGCTGACCTATCTTCTGCAAAGGTAACGAGTCGCTTCATTACCTAGTGTACCGAGGCTGAGCTGGGGTCAGATGAAGGGGCCATTCCTAGTCAACACACTTTCCCTCATCCATCTTTTCTCTCCATTCAAACTCCTTCATTCCCCATCTTTAAAACTCTTCTATCTTGCCAGTAATTAATCCAGATATCTTCAGAAATGTCTGTTGTTTTTATTAAGTAAAACGTGCCAAGTTTTATTAATCAGAGCCGATAGCGTAATCAAGTGTACAATGTTTTGATGTTAAATTTTGATTCTGTTAATAAATGACCACATTCATTTTGATGGGTCAAAGAAAATTAACGTCTCATGTCACTGATTAGACCATCTCCCACACAGTACGTCTGTCACATATCTGTCAAGTAGATCGAAAAAGTGAGAACCCGTTATTAAATATTGATTGTAGTGGAGCTCTTAAGCTAACTGAAGCTAACTGAAGCTAATCTAGCCCTATCTCACTACACTCCTAAGCCGTGCATTCCTGCACGTTGCACCCGAACCATTAACCACTTCACTGCCTCACATTTCACAGATGTTTATAACTCTGAAATGATCATTCAGCCCCCAGTGTTTCTCACCACCACTGAGGATCTGACATCCCAGTTCAACTCTGTCTGCTTAAAGACTATGGATCATGTCGCACCTGTTAAAACCAAAAAATCAAAACTCAAAGCAGAACCTTGGCTGAGTGACGTCACCAAGGCCGCTAGGCAGCAATGTAGGAGGGCGGAACGAAAGTGGAGGAAAGACAGGCTTCAGGTCTCTTTCCAAATATTTAAAGAGAGTTGGCGCTGTTATCAGAAAACAGTAAAAGCTGCAAAATCAAAATTATTCTCTGATGTAATTACCTCAAACTCTCACAACCCACGTGTCCTCTTCTCCACCCTAAACTCTGTTCTCCACCTCACTGGACCATCACCTCTGGAAGCCTCGACTGAGCTGTGCGACAACTTCTTACATTTCTTTGTGGAAAAAATTACGACCACCAGAGCTCTCATTTCCCCTCCAACTCATGACCCATCCATCCCACCTCAATCTGTAGCTCCTTTTGACCATTTTGAACCCATCACTCTATCTTCTCTAGAGCAGGTCATGTGCAGCTTGAAGCCTTCTGGTTCCCCCTTTGATGTGGTCCCCCCTCGACTACTAAAGGAGGTTTTTCGTACTCTAGGTCCGTCCATTCTTGCCATAGTAAACAGTAGTTTATCCACTGGCGTGGTGCCAAAAACCTTTAAACATGCTGCCGTCCAGCCTCTCCTGAAAAAAACAAACCTTGACCCCTCACTCGTTTCCAACTTCCGGCCTGTCTCCAAACTCCCATTTGTTTCTAAAGTACTGGAGAAAATAGTCGAGTCCCAGTTGAAGTGCTTCCTGGAGGATCACGCCATCTTAGAACTTTTCCAATCTGGCTTTAAACCTCTCCACAGCACTGAAACTGCCCTGCTGAAGGTCTTTAACGACATCTTCAGATTCCCAGATACTGGTGATTCTGTGCTGCTTGTCCTGTTGGACCTCACAGCCACCTTTGACACTATCGACCATGAGATCCTCATTGCTAGGATAGAGCAGTGGGTGGGCGTCACAGGATCAGCCCTCAATTGGTTCAGATCTTACCTCACTGACAGATCCTTTTGTGTCTCCATCAAGGATTTTAGTTCCGCAGAGGCAGAGCTCAAATGGGGGGTTCCGCAAGGGTCCATCCTGGGTCCCCTCCTATTCTCTTTATACCTGCTGCCGCTTGGTGCTATTTTCCGGAAACACAACATGCCCTTCCACTTCTATGCCGATGACTGTCAAATTTACTTCCCCCTAAGACACAATGGTACATGCTCTATTCAACCGCTGCTCAACTGCCTGGCTGACATCAGGGACTGGATGGCTTTAAATGTCTTAAGTTTCAATGAAAAGAAGTCTGAAGTCATGTTGTTCCCTCCCAACAACACAATCACAAACCACTGCATCGACCTCTCCGCTCTAACCCTGTCAGAAAAACAGAGTCACTAATCTGGGCGTGATAATGGACCCTTCCTTGAAACTTAACAATCATGTAAACATGATTGTTAAATCATGCTTCTTCCAACTGAGGCGGCTGTCTAAACTGAAGCCCATATTGTCCCAAAAAACCTGGAGACAGTAATACATGCATTCATTACATCTAGGCTTGATTACTGCAATTCGCTCCTGTTTGGTATCAGTCAGACCTCCATTGCACGACTACAACTGGTCCAGAATGCAGCAGCCCGATTTTTAACCAGTACAGGCAAAAGAGAGCACATTACACCAGTTTTGGCCTCACTTCACTGGTTACCGGTTCACTTTCGAATCCAGTTCAAAATACTCATGCATGTCTACAAATCACTGAACATTGTCCCCCCCCCCCCCCATCTCTCTGATCTGCTACAACCGTATGTCCCACCATTTTCCCCGAGGTCAGCGGTCCAGTTGCTCCTCACAGTTCCAGGAACTCGTCTTAAGCGCAAAGGTGACAGGGCCTTCTCTGTAGCAGGACCAAGACTTTGGAACGAGTTACCTCTGTTTGTCAGACAGGCCCCCTCCCTTTCGGTTTTCAAGTCCCATTTAAAAACTCACTACTATTCAGTAGCTTTCAACACCAGATGATCTGTGTTTTGATCCTGTATGCTCCACACTGGTTTGTCATCATTATCTGTATCGTTTTTATGTCTATATTCTGATTTACCTCATTTTGTATTTTGCTTTGTGTGTTACCTGTTGTTTTGTCTGTACAACACTTTGGTTGGCCTTGTAGCTGTTTTAAGTGCTTTATAAATAAAGTGGTATGGTATGGTATCTTCTGAACTTCGGTTTTCTTATGCTGCTTGCTGGCTGAAGAAAAATGGGGAGCTGAACCCCAGTCTCAGGGCAATTTATACTTACTGGGGGTGGGGCCCACACAGCAGGAGGGTGTGGATAAAAGTTATCAGTCCTGCGCGCTATGCGCAGGGATAAACCCACTAGTGATAGCCATAAAGGGTGAAGCCTACACAAAATAGAACTTGTAAATATGGACCTTGTAAATATTATATATTTTTTTCATTTTTTGATACTTTATTATTGCATTGTATTTATTTTTTTTAGCAAGTCGAATCGTATCTTCTCACCCTGAACATTTCATTTTATTGTTGACCTTGTGTATTTATCATATGCAGGTTAACACAACAAAACATAACATCACATAACTTGCAAATGTATTATTATTAATACTATACTTAAAGTATAAATATTTAAAAACTATACTTACTTTCTCCTCTGGGTCTTGCTCAAGACAGACGCTTCTCCCTCCCCCGTTCTCCCATTCCCCCTGCTTCTACACTTTGTGTGTCTAGGAGCTGCTGGTACACATCTCCCAAACGAAAAATGCTATTATGGATCTGACGAGTTGGACTTTCAACGAAATTGACAAAATCTTTTCAAGAAAATGACGGTCCTGGAGAACCCTCTTGCTCGGCTGAGAATCGCGTTGCGGGGTATATCAGAGTTCAGCTGATGTGTCTCTCAGTTCTGTCTCAGGAGGACGCTGAAGACGTTTATATTTCGGATTTATAATAGCAAGGGTTCTGCTCTTTGGCATTATCAGGGCTTTGTTTTATCTTCTATGAAGAAGACATTGGCAGCAGTTTCGGTCATGGCAAAGCTTGCGAGTCTGTGTTTGGTATGTGCTATGAGGACTCAAAATGAGCTGATTAATGAGCTAACCCATAAGATAGAGATGATTTGTGAGAATCGCAGGCTGCCTGTGGCTTTAGGATTCCACAGCATGTGGGATCGACTTTGGGGAGGCTCAGTAGAGAGAAATACCCATAAATTTGGCCATTTTAGACAGAGAAAGTTCTAGCAGGACTCAAGGCTGACAAGAAAAAGTCTGCCGGAAGAAAATCAACAATTGTGGCTTATTTGAATCTGACTCCCCCATTTATCCTCGAATATGAGCCAACTATCAAATTTCTCCTGGGACTTGGGGAACTAGGGAAATAGTTTTGTCTATTGCAACCCCACTTGCCACCTCAAGAACTTCTGTGCAGGCTTATCAGAACTGTGCCGGCTGACCAGCATCTTATCAGGACCATGGTCTATTATCTGAAACTGCTCACGGACGAATCTCAACATCTTGACGCCAAATGCATATGTAATGTGTTTATAAATGTGCTTGCTGGTAGAGTTTTTTGATGTCTCAAATTGTGTCCTGATAGGACAAGATGTGAAGAGATCTTTTTTTTTAACACCACTATCCACCCTCATGGCCTTTTCCCCTTTTCTATCTAAAAGTATTCTGATAAAGAATAAGGGGCCGCGCTATGCTAGCAGCAGCAACGTGCACTCTGCCCATCTTTCGGACGACTGTACAAACATAATTTCACTGTATCCTGGTACAATGAAAATAAAGCTTATTCTGAGTCTGATTCTAAAGATAACCCATGCAAATTTGTTTGGATCAAACAAGTAGACCTTCGTGTCACTCGGTCCCACTCAAGTAGCTCTCTGTCTCAAAAAGTTTGGGGACCCCTAGAATATAACAATTACCCCTGTCTTTATATCACAACACAACAATTAAAACATAATTCAACCGACAAATTATGAGCAAATTCATTTGCACTATAAAGATAACTCACCTCCCATGTTGCACAAAGATTTGTGGGATGGTAGATGTACTTTCCATCGTTGTCTTTTGGATAAAACTCCTTCCCCGGCTAAAAATGTAAGCACAATTTAACAATGAGAAAAGATAACTGATACTATTACTCCTGATGAATCGAATTAAGTAGCAACCATAACCTGTTTTAAAGTAACTTCACACCAGTGAGAACCATTGGGTTTAATGGACAAATATAATTGTGTGTCATCAGCATAACAATGAAAATTTATCCCATGCTGTTTAATAATTTTACCTAATGGAAACATATATAAAATAAAGAGTATTGCCCCAAGCACTGAGCCCTGAGGAACTCCATGACTAACTTTGGTGTATGAAGAAGATTTATTATTTACATTTACAAACTGGAATCTATCAGACAGATATGATTTAAACCATTTTAGAGCTGTTCCTGTAATTCCAATATCATATTCAAGACTCTGTAGTAAAATATTGTGATCAACTGTATCAAATGCAGCACTGAGGTCTAACAGGACCAGTATGACACAAGTCCCTTGTCTGAGGCCATGAGAATATCATTAGTGACTTTTACTAGTGCTGTTTCTGTGCTATGATGAGCTCTAAACCCTGACTGAAACTCTTCAAACAGATTATTTCTTTGTAGATGTTCACACAACTGACCTGCAACTATTTTCTCTAGAATTTTTGAGATGAAAGTTAGATTAGATATAGGTCTATAGTTGGCCAGAATTTCTGAATCAAGATCAGACTTCTTAAGTAAAGGTTTAATTACAGCAACCTTAAAGCTCTGTGGTACATAACCATCCATTAAAGACAAATTAAGTAGATCCAAAATGTGGACATTAATTAGGGGAAATACCTCTTTAAACAGTCTGGTTGGGATGGGATCAAACAGGCATGTGGATATTTGGATGAGGTTATTATTTTTGACAATTCAGAGCTCAACAGGACAAAAACTGTCCAAACATAAATCAGGCTCTAGTGAAATTTTGAAAGTTGCCTCATTTGACAGAGGACTAGAGATAGTAGAAGGAAGGATGGTTTGAATTTTCTCTCTAATTGAAATAATTTTATTTATAAAGAATCTCATGAAGTCATCGCTACTTACAGTTGTAGGGATACATGGTTCAACAGAAATGGGACTTTTAATTAGTCTAGCAATAATACTAAACAGAAACCTAGGGTTATTTTTATTCTCCTCTATTAAAGATGAGTAATATAAAGTTCTAGCTTTACGGAGAGCTTTTTTATATGTTAGCAGACTATCTTTCCAAGTTAAATAAAATTCTTCAACATTAGTAGAGCGCCATTTTCTCTCCTGGTTTCTAGATGCTGCTTTAAAGTACGTAACTCAGAACTGAACCATGGAGCCAGTTTCCTCTGATTGATTACTTTCTTTTTCAGTGGAGCAATTTTATCAAGTGAAGTTTGCATTGAAGCTGTAAGATGATCAACTAGATGATCTAAGTCTCTGTTCTCTGATGCATTACTCTGCAAGACAGAGGAAAACAGTGATGGAAGATATTGTTTAAATTTGGTTACAGCATTTTCTGATAAGCACCTGCTGAGATGAAATTTACTCTCAGTGACTGTGAAGTCATTTAATGTAAACTCAAAGGTTATTAAAAAATGGTAGGACAGAATAGGATTTTGAGGAACTATTACCAAGTCCTTAATCTCTATACCATAGGTCAGAACTAAATCAAGAGTGTTATGATAAGAATGAGAAGATGTGTGGCCGTTTTGGGTAAAACCAAATAAGTCTATTAAATTATTAAAGGCTATGCTTAAGCTATCACTCTCAACATCTACATGAATATTGAAATCACCCATTATGATGATTTTATCAGTATTTAATAGTAAGTCAGTTAATAATTCTGAGAATTCAGACAAAAACTGAGTAAGCGCCTGGTGGACGATATATAACAACAAGTAAAAGTGGCTAAAACTATTTTCCCTCTTCCAGGAGTTCCAGTCCCAGTGGCCTGTATATATTGTATATATTTTCTAAGTCACTGTAAATAAACATCACTTTTCGTAGCCTGAGTCTTGTGTCGTTCTGGGTCTCGTTACAACTGGGTTGCCCGCACATACAACAGAAATGCTCCAGCCAGACCAAACCCAGAACGAGGCTCGGAACGACCAAGCCACGTCCTCGTCGCAAACGGAGCGAGTAAACCAGCTTGAGAAGATCCTCTCCCAAATGATCCAGCAACAACAACAAACTCAAGCTAATCTACAGGAGCTGGGGGTATGGTTTATTCAATTAAACAGACTCTCTCTCCTTCTCCTCCTACAGTCGCAGCAGAAACCCCTGAGAACAGTCACACGTGCACATGCTCGGCGAGACACTCATCGGAGCCACAATTACTGGTAAAGCCGTCCAAACTTTTTTCCGGTGACCCAGAACAATGTGACGGCTTTCTCCTCCAATGTGAGCTCACATTCAGCGGAGCCCCCAGGCTCTACTCCTCAGAAAACGCTAAGATCACCTACTTTACGAGCCAGTTAAAGGGTAACGCACTCCGGTGGGCAACTTCTTTTCTCCGCCAGCATGATTTAAAAGTTATTTCTTTTAGTAGTGTACTTACCGAGTTTCGCAGGATATTCGACAGACCACTATCGGGTCCCAACGCAGAGAAACGTCTCCTGGGCTTACGTCAGGGCCGGCGACCAGTAGCCGAACACGCCCTCGAGTTCCGCATCCTCGCCGCACAAACCGGATGGAACGAGAGAGCACTACAGGGAACTTTTCTAAATTCCTTATCGGATCCGTTAAAGGACCAGATCGCCGCTAGGGACAAGCCGTCCAACTTTGACGCTCTCATTAATCTGGCCATTTTGATTGATGAGCGTTTCCGCGAGCGACAGCGGGAACGGGACTACAACTCCCAACGTACCACCATTTCCGGTTCGGGTCCGTCACTCAGTGTTGTCCGTGGTAAAGAGTCGCCTTCGTTTTCCAAATTCCAAAATCTTTTTACCCACGCGTCAGCCCCTTCACTCTCTTTACCTGAGTCAGAGCCCATGCAGGTGGGACGCACCCATCTTACTCCCAACGTTAGACAAAAACGCCGAGAACAAGGGTTATGTTTCTATTGTGGTCAAAATAGGCATCTTGTTGCCGCCTGTCCGTTTCGGGGAAACGAGAACACCCACCAAAAAAGAGGGAGATATTGGTGGGGACTTCTTCGCTCTCCCCATTAAGTAGACTGACCATTGCTACGGTCATTCAATATAATCAGAAACGCTTCCCCGTTTCTGCACTCATAGACTCCGGCGCTGAACAGAATTTAATTAGTCAAAGTCTGGTATCCGAATTGTCACTACCCACCGTAAAAATACCCACCGTTTCCATCACAGGTATCACAGGCGATACACTATCCCAGGTCCAACACCGCACCACTGACTTACACTTAATTACATCCGGCAATCACCACAAACACGTCAGTTTCTTTGTTTTCGATTCACCCCATGACCAAGTAATCTTAGGATACCCCTTTAAAACTCCACAACCTTCACATTAATTGGGAACTTGGCAGAATAGAGAAATGGAGCGGAAGGTGTCTAAAACACTGTCTCCGCTCTGGAATCTCTAATGCAACCAAACAAGACACCAATATAGAACAAATTGACTTAACTTCCATTCCGCCTGAGTATCACGATCTCTCTCCTGTTTTTAGTAAACAGAGAGTCTTGTCCTTGCCGCCACATCGACCATACGACTGCGCTATAGATCTTTTTCCGGGGGCTCCCTTACCAGCTAGTCGTTTGTTCAACCTCTCCGGACCTGAGAGGGACTCCATGAAGGAGTACATTGAGGAGTCACTTGACTCCGGTATTATTCGTCCATCCACCTCCCCGGTGGGGGCCGGGTTCTTCTTTGTGTCCAAAAAAGATAAGACCCTCCGTCCTTGTATCGATTACCGGGGTTTATCCTCTTCCGCTTATTGACTCCATACATGAACAATTACAATCGGCCACCATTTTTACTAAGTTAGATTTGCGTAACGCATATCATTTGGTTCGTATTAAGGAGGGCGACGAATGGAAGACGGCCTTCCGGACCCCTTTGGGTCATTTCGAATATTTAGTTATGCCATTTGGTCTCACTAATGCTCCTGCAGTCTTCCAGGCATTAGTCAATGACGTACTCAGAGACTTTTTAGGGGAGTTCGTTTTTGTATATCTTGACGATATCCTAATCTACTCGCATGACAAGGAGGAACACATCAAGAGGGTCAGAACAGTTCTTCAGCGACTATATGAGAATCAATTATTTGTCAAAGGTGAAAAGTGTGAGTTTCATACTTCATCCGTTTCCTTTCTGGGGTTTATATTCAGGGAAGGACATTATCGTACAGACCCTGAAAAAATCAAAGCTGAATGAATGAATGGCCCGTTCCTGAGACCCGTAAACAGCTTAAACGTTTTCTTGGTTTTGCAAACTTCTACAGACGCTTCATTAGAGACTACAGCCGTATTGCCACACCACTCTCCCAACTTACCTCAGTTAACGGAACATTCAAATGGACTACAGAAGCAGACACTGCCTTCAAAAAATTGAAACAACTCTTCTCAACCTCACCCATCCTCTGCCATCCTGATCCAGAACGCCAGTTCATCCTGGAGGTGGACGCCTCCGACACTGGGGTAGGTGCCGTTCTTTCTCAGAGATCCCCCAAGGACAATAAGATACACCCCTGTGCTTTCTTTTCTCGGCGTTTGTCCCAAGCCGAGCGTAATTACGATGTGGGAAATCGTGAATTACTAGCCGTCAAACTGGCTT